GCGGTAGCTGAAAGCACTGGGTACGTTTGTGGTGTCAAGGGAAAGCAGCAACCCACCTGAAGATCCTGCAGTTGCCTGCCCAAAGACTCACGACTGCCCCTTCAGCACATGTGTTTCCTCCAAGGAATATCCGCGCCCATTTGTGGTTGGAGGCTGTGTACTCCCCTTCACTTGCCCGAATCGGCTTTTGCCTGCCCAAAGGACCTGGAAATAAGACATGACCTTGGAGCTTGACTGCCACTGCTCCTGGCCCGTCGACACAAAAGGGCTACACCCCGGTTGACAAACAAAAAAAACCACCCCGACCCTAAGAGACCCGAAGACCGAATTCGCGAGGCTGAAGGCTCCGAAATCCCCGCACATCACCCCTAAAAGGAACCACTGAAAAGGTGGTTACAGGAATAGAGTCGACTGTCTGCAAATGAACCCCATCCCCGACAAAACACACGCGGGAAACCGAATCTTAGCATGATGTGAGAAGGGTCCCTAATTGAGCATGCCCCGTGTCCTGCATAAATGTCCTTTTGGTGACATAGATGGCCCTGGTACATGGGGCATAAAACCAATCTAAACCACTGGAACACATCTGCTTCCAACCAAACTAAACCAAAAGTTGACACCAAACCTGAGCTTCAGGTTCGCTTCAGCTTCCGGTCTCGTTGCTTCAGGCCCCGGATCCCGATCCGCTCCGACCGGATCCGCTCGCCGATCGATCGATCGGATCGCGAGCCTGAAGCTCTTGAGGGCCGTGAGCTGCGGGCACTCGAGGCGGTACTTGTCCAGGCGCCAGTTGGACAAATCCCCGGTGATGGAGGCGCAGGAGGTCTCCTGAGGTGGAGCTATGAGTTGGAGTGGAGAAGGGAACAAGAAAACAACATCTGGGAGAATCTTAGCACATGATTGATGAGGAACTTTTTACTATATAATTTATGTACTACTACGCTTTGGTGGACAGAGAAGCAAACCGCAACTTCCCGGAGCTGAGAGTCTGGGTCTCAGGAAAAACCGATCCAAGCGCTGTCGAGAAGGTTTGCGTTCCGTTTTCTTGCTGGTGCGATAGGTAGGGAATGTGGGAATGAACCCAAAGATCCCCCTAAAGGAAGCTAAAAGGGATGGTTTACAGGGGTCATTCCCTCATTCCCTACTGAAGACCAACTCATTTTGTGATAAACTAGATCCGAAAGAGACAAACCTTAATGAGACTCCCAAAAGGGTGTGTTGTGTGTTTTCCTATACCGCCGTTTCTCCGAAAGTAAGGGATACCTCAAAAATGGTGTGTTTTCTTTTGGTTTTCCTTTAACAGCCATCCTCACAGGAACCCAGGATTATACAGGTTTGTTTACCCTGTTTTGAAAACCTGCTCTAAGAATTGGATCCCCAAGCAAATGGCTTACATTGTGGTAAACTGTTTTACCCCCCCCCCCACAGATGAGCTCATGATAAAATGGGTAGATATACTCATTCAGTGACTACTAGAAGCCATGCCAGACCACGGGCCATACTCCCGCTCTGAAGCATGGAGTCTTTTAAGGGAAGCCGCAGAGTCATATGTGAGAGAGATTTTTTCACCCAAGTGAAGGGTGAGAGGACCACTGCAAGAAGTGCTCGATCATTGGCTTCACGGGCCATGGCCCTCCCATAGCTCGCACGGGGAAACCTCATTGGAGTCCTAGGAGAGCCACCCCCAATTGGCAGGTCCCTCATTTTGAGACACGCGGAAACAGGAGTATCTCCAAAATGGGTGTGTCGCAGTTGTTCATGAACAGATTGAGAGCCATAGCAAGCAAACCAACAAAAGTGGGTCTTAGTTTAGTGATGATTAGGCTTTCCGGCTTTCTTGCCGATATGTTTTCCGAAGAAAACATGCAGTGATCAACATTGGATATGACCGTCATGGTCATGGCCCACACAACAGGAATCCTTTTACAGCTTGTCTAAAATTCTAGAAAACACGTCAACGGCCATCCCTACTACTCTGAAGTACAAGGGCCAAGGGTGACACAAAACTCAAACCCAAACCAATCCCAAGTCAGGCCAAAAACTCACTTCACGACACCCTAAAGCAACCCTAAAGCCACTGTTAAAACCAGCCGCACACCTAGCACAAATCAGCTGCAAGCCAACCCCACACACACAAAATTAACCTAAACCCACCCAGTGGCCTGGATATATCGGCAACTGAACCCCGACCAAGCAAGCAAGCAAGCAAGCAAGCAAGCAGGCAGGCAGGCAAGCAAGCAAGCAAGCAAGCAAGCAAGCAAGCAAGCAAGCAAGCAAGCAAGCAAGCAAGCAAGCAAGCAAGCAAGCAAGCAAGCAAGCAAGCAAGCAAGCAAGCAACCTACTAATCAACCAACCAACAATGTTAAGCCCCTGGCGGCCGTTTCCACTACACCCAACTGCCATTGCTGGCCAGGCGGGCCAAAGGTGCCCTTGGGCAAAATGCTAGGTATCCGTTTGGGGATTGGTTGGTTTTTAACGCGAAACCAAAAGGAAACCCGGAAAACCAAAGTTCAAATCCCAATTTTAAGGCACGCTCACGTGTTTCAACCAGAGTCTGTCCCAAAATAGGAATCGGACCCCTTTGAATGGGCAACCACAAGGAACCCCCCTCATTTTATGAGATTCCACCGTCTACAAAAGCATCCCCTGCCCCGAAAACCAAATCCCCGATTGTCGGCCCATGTATCCCGCTCGCCTTCTGAACGCATTGCGTGTTGGGGGTCTGAATAAAGGCCGAGCACTGCCACACGTACCTCGAATCCATCGCAAGATGTATTCGAAGCCCCGATCTCGTTGCTCGATCCTTTTGCCCGAACGAGCAAAAGCTCGGTCTCACCCTTTTGGAAAACGCTGAAAGACACGGTGTTTGGATGAAAACGCTGCACATTTGCAGGGTTCGGGTTCTGCTGGTTGTCCCTGATCACAGCAATGGCGCGATTGGTGCGGTCGAACAGGGCCCAAGTTACTTGGAACAAACCAGTTGCATCTTCGAGGACAATCTGTTTTCCTCGAGGGGTCGCTTGCGGAATCTCCCCTTCAAAAGTTGATCAATTTGGTGATTGGCCCCTGCGCAAAGCCTTAAATTGTTGTAATTTAGTGGCTCAAAAAAATCAATAAAAAAACACATATGACCAACCCTAAGCTGAAGCAAACAGGGTGTTTTGAACATGGCACATCTGGGTATTTTTGAGGGTACCCTGATTGGGGGTTGCTGTAGCGGGAGGAAAATACGCCGGGGGGGGGAATCAATTTGTTCGGTCCCCTATTTCAAGACACACCCATTCAATCTCAATCTAGAATGATTGCTCGTGTACGAAAATAAATCCAACTGGAACGTCTTTTGTGGGGTGGTTGAACCCACTCAAAATCCAAACGCATGCCCGGACAGAGAAACCGGATAGTCAAAACACGCTGCTTGAAGGACGTGGCAAAGTGTTGGGAGAAGAGATTTCGCGAGTCCTCCATGCCGGGGTGTGTTTTGCAAGTATTCGAACATGTTGATCCATCGTTTTAGGAACCGTTTTCCATGTGCCATGTTAAACGCAGGAATTCGCTGAGTTTTTTTCCATGGACAACGCACCAGGGTGAAAGCCCCTATCTCCTGGACCTTCAACGGACTTGCGGCCTTGCGTACTCCCCAAGCAAAGTGAAAGCCCACAGAGCCCACAGAGTTTAAAGGCTCCAGTTGCGCCCTTGTGACTTGCTTCCCAGACGCGGCCTTGGGGGAAAAAATGGAACCTCCAAACTCAGCCCAGGAGACCCTGAGCCCCTGGCCATCCGGAACCCTCCCCCGAAATCTCCAGATCACCCAAGGTTTTCCAGGGGTCGAGCCCAAAGTGGTCCCTGCTGTTGAGGAAAAAGGGGGGAATCAAAACATACAAGGACACCACTGGAGGTCTCGGGCTTTGTTGAAAATTGTCCGAATTTTGGATGGTCCCGAACCCGTTGGACATCACAAAAGGTGGAGATGCATGTCCACTAACCCCTTTAAAGGTGGTCCCGTTTGAAACAAACAAATAGCCATGTGGGTGTCCTCTCTCGTTAGGGGACCCCCAAAAAACAAAGCAAGATTGCGGTTTTCCTTTTGCTTTCCCTTTACCACCTAACACGTGGCTACCAACTCCAACAAAAAGGATGCGACCACCCATGTCCGGTCTCCGAGTCTCCCGATCTGCCGAGGCGCTGGTGGGTGTTGCCAGTGCCGCAGCCGTTGCGAGGAGCGAAGTCCAGTTTCCGGAGCGCCGACCTTTGGAGTCAGACCCAGATTCATCAACCCCCAGTTGTATGGGGGTGGGGAAATGGGGGTGGGGGTGGGTGGGGGTGGTTTTGGCCCTTGCAAAAGTGATGGAAAAAAAGCTCCAGGAACACTTTCATACGAATCAACTGGGGTTTGTCAATATGGGGGTCAACATCAAGCCCCACAAGGGGATCCCAAACACTCCACCAGGTCTGCTAGATTTCCGGAATTATGTGGCTGTGGGTCAAAACCCTGTTCCCCTGGTGAACATCAAAATAGGTGGCAAATGGATGTTCATCTGCCCCAAAATGGAGCCATAGGTTCTGACCCATGGCCATGTCATAGAAACCCTCTACAGGTAAAGTCCAAAAGGGGATCGAATTGCATGGGAACCTGGGGAATCAACAATTTCCGCAGCCAGAGATAGGAGTCGGATCCAAACGAACTTCAGAGCTCGATCTCCATATCAGATTCATATCCGATCTGAAAGCGGTGGATCTCAAGCCGACAAACCACCTCGGTTGCGAAATCTGCTCCCCTGCGAAAAGTTTTACTTTTAGTGGTTTAGTGGAAAACCCATTAGTTGGCAAAAAGTTAAAGTCCTAGCAGCCAAGCAAAATGCACCAAAGCAACATAATCAACCCAATCAAACCCAAACTTTGTGGATGGTTTTTTTTTGTGGCCGAATGGGGGAATCAACCCATCGAACCTATCCTCACAGCCTTTCGGCCTTACCCCTTTGAAACCCTCTGACCCATTCCGGGATCTGACGAATTCAACCTAAGTTTCCTTGGGGTTATGGGGACCTCAAATTTCTGCTTTTAGAGGTCTTGAAGAACCCACCCCAAACATATCCAGATCAGTTGCCAAGGCTTCCAAGGAAAACCACCCTTGAAAGATTTAACAGAACATGGCCGGTGACCTACTGTACTGCTAGGGATCTGGGATCGGCGTAATACGGCTAAATTGTCATTCAATATGGGGAGTCCTTTTGTCACCTGACAGGCAGGCTGAAGTCTTAGCTCCATACCTCCAAGAGGTCAAGGGGGAGAACCACTTGGCCGCCTGCTTTCACCACCATGTCGCTGCCCAAACAAGCTCCGGAGTGGTCCGGAGCAGCTCAGGGTTCCCGGTTGGGGATGCCACGTGCACGTTTTTGGCCTTTGCCTTCTTACCAGGTTCCAACAATGGGTGCAGCTGCGCTATCTTTGCTTGTTTCTCTGCAGAGGGCCTAGTGGGGGGAGGGCCTTAGAGGGGAAAACAACAGACGACCCGCTCCGGTGTTGGGTCTAAGTTTGGCCAAAGGGATCCGACCCTTTGTGATGTTGAAGGGAGAACCAAATGGAGATCCACCCGGATTGGTCTCTTTTGAATGAAGGAAAGCCAACATCCGGGTCGGGCTCAAAGACCCTTATCATGGGGATCTTCCGTATTTCGGCCATTTGTCCTCTGAGACGACGAGACACTTTACACTCCAACATTTTGTTCGGTCTAAGGACCACCCTTCCGTATAAACCTCGACGGGGCTGTATGCATTTGGCGTCCAAGTACTGAGAAACAAGGCCACCGGTGTTCGGGACCTTTTGGGTGCCAAGGAAGTCTGCAAAGTTTAAAAACTCCCCCAGGAGCGGGTTCACTTCGGAGAAATTTGTCCAAGATGGTGCATGTAAACTTCCCGTTTGCTCGCAAAGCGATCCGCGGGAAAATGGATAATTAATAACCTACTCATTTGCGATCCGTCCCAAAAACCAGCCAGTTTTTCATGAGTCAATTTTCCTGTAGACTCAGTTGCCCAAATTGGGGGCCTGGAAATAGACTCGGTTGACCTGTGACCTTGACGATTTATGGAAATCAGAAGAAACCAAACGGTCGAAAGGTCAGCTTTGGGCAACCGAGCAGCGATGTCCGACTTTACCTGTAGAATTATCGATTATTTTCTCGTAGCTGGGATCTGGGGTTTGACCTATGGATAAATATGGATAAATGGTAACTGGGCTGTTCAAAATGGATGGCCACTCCATTTTTCCAGAATCCCCCTTCGGAAAGCCACTAAGACTGGTTCCTTGCATACCCGCTTTGGTAAGGACCTTGCGGATGACCTTTGAACAGCTACAAAAAACACTTGAAAGATGGGGTTTGTCTCAATGGGGAACCCCCCTGCGGGTTGAGACTGAACCCCCACCAGCAGTTTCCTTGTTCCTTTAAACCCCAATTTGAAGCGAGCGGAGACTGAGATTCGAGGCCCCCGCCCGGTGCCACACTCCACGGTGCCGTGGGTGGTGAGCTTGGACACATCGCTGCCCACGCCTGCGACTTCCCCGAAAATTGGGGGGTCCCTCTCAAATTTGCCAATTGTGAGGGGCACCCTGAAATTTTGGGGGTCCCGGCAATTTTGAGGGTCCCCCTGAAATGTCCCCCTAATTTTGCAGGTTCTGAAATATCAAATTTTGGGGGGTCCCCCTACTTTGGCAAGGGGGCCAATCTAAAGGGACCCGAAATTGACGTCAGAATTCGGGGATTCACGTCCCAATTCACAGCCATTCGGAAAATTGCGGGGTTTTGCGAAAGAGTCGCCAGATCAGGGCAACTGAGGCTTTGCTCAAAAGACCCGATCTGACAATAGTAAACCTTGCTCCAAGCTGAGCAAAAGGTTGATCATTTACCTTCAAACACCCATTTGCTTCGAAAAGGTCCTTTCCGCAGCCAAGAAACCTCGAGAGAGTACAGTAAAAGTTCCATTGCTTGTCAAAAAGCTTCAGTGACACCTCTCGATGCCGCTTCGCCAAGCCCGAGTCACCTCTCCCGATTCGCATCCGATCGACTCGTATCTCGATCCGATGGATTCGCCTTTGGCGCAGGTGCCCTCGAAGACTTGGCCGCTGATCCAGTGGGTCCACTTCGACCTCAGCTCCAGCCTTTGGCCTGGGAGAAGGCGTCCCTCCAGTTCCAGTTACCGGAGCAAAAAAGGCAAGGGAAGGCCAGGCCAGGGACCCCCTTATCAAATATATGTATATATATATATGTAGACATATATATAGATATATGTAGAAACAAGAAACAACCGGCCAGTAACTGGATCCACTGGGGTTTGATGGTTAGGGGCTCCCCTAAACGAGTTGGGTGGTGAGATTTTCACAGCGGGTGAACATGTAACAACCCAACAGGAGTTCTGCCTGGCTCCTTTCTGAATGGGGTTTGCTGGCCTTTCGAGGGGCGAAAGGCAGCTATATCCAAAGTGGACTGGTGGATTCCTTTGGAAATGGTTAGCCCCTGACCCAGGGAAAGTGGGGGATCCATACCCTCTATCAGTATGCTTGTTGACCTTGGCACGACAAATCAGCAAAACAAATTAAAATCTGGTGAAAATCTGGTGAAAATCTGGTGAAAGGCCGCCATTTCATGGCACCCCGAAAAGAGACAAAAAGGTGAGTCATGGTGAAACTATTCGGGCCGCACCTGCTTTGGCCCAAGCCTCTCTGCAAGCCTCTGCTGCCAAATGAATTCGCTCAGGTAGCCCTTCCCACGCCTGCGCAACAGACACATCAAAGCCCAGCCAGGCAGAACGAAGGCCACGACTGCAGCGGCCCTCAAACTCTCAAACGGCAAGATATAAGGGATCACAAATGCAGTCACGCCAAAGGTAATGACTGGGCTTGCATAAAGTATCATGAGCGAGTTGGTCAAGAATTCGCCACATCTGGAGCTGGACTCGTGGCGCAGGCGGTATGCCAAGAATTTGCACCATGAGGTCAACATAGGAGAAATCAAAAAGACAGAAAGCATGAGAGAGAGCCACACCATGACCCACGACCATCTGGGATCACGCCCTCGAATCTCGTACTGAAGAATATCGAATATGGCCCACTGTGCTGGGCTCAGGAGAGCAACACTCCAAGCATCGCCAAAAGATCTCCGCTCGAGCTGTTCCGTAATGACGTCCACAACTTCGGTCTGAACGTACTCCTCAAAATCTTGCGTGCTACCAAACCATATTGCAATGCATTCGGCAATGACTTGTTTGTCACAAATGGCCTTGTTTGCACCGCGTGCAGTGCATTTGCCCGTGCTGCAACAGCTGCATTTCAACTCTGATACTTGTAAGGACAACAGCTGCCTCTGCATGACTTCTATGGAACGGTAAAACCCACGCAGGATGTGGCAACATGCATAGGCATTAGCGACACCAATGGTTGCGAAGCAAGCAATGGGCAACGCAAGTCCAAACCTACCGTCCACAAGAAAAGTTGGGAAAGCCACGACTGGAATGAATGCCAGTGTGACTGTTGCAAAAAGAGCAAATGAGAATGGCCCTGTCAGGGTTGGGCAAACAACAAGAGGCCTTTCTCGTTGCTCGTTGCTTTTGAGGAATGCTGCAATCTCAAACACGCACCACAATCTTTCGGAAAAGGAAGATGTTGTTGTTGTTGTTGTTGTTGTTGTTGTTGTTGTTGTTGTTGTTGTTGTTGTTGTTGTTGTTGTTGTTGTTGTGACTGCAACCTGACACGGGTTAAGCAGCCAAGTCGGGGTAGCCTAAACAGCCTAAAGGTCACGCGATCGCCGGGCCAAAGAAGCCTCAGCGGCGACCTGCTCATGCCACATCTCGGTGCCATCAACTTGATGGCGGACAGCCGCAGCCGCCCACAGTTGAGCCTCCTCATGCTGCGTGGCCGCAGCGTCGAAGTGATGGCGACGCCCTGCAACATCCGCCTGGGCGGCGCGGTCGGCCTGGTCGTTCAGGGAGCGAGCAGTTGCCGCATCGACAAGGGGGGACGTGGGCTGCCAGTCGGGGCGACGACCATGAGCAGGAACCCACAGACACTCAGAGCCGGGCGGAATGTTGTCGCGGATGAGGCGCCAAAAGCCAGGGGCATCACCGCACCAAGAGTTCTGCCGAAGGCCCCGCTGGAGCCGAAGGACAACACCACTGCAGTCACAAAGGATGAGCAGCGGGAGGCCAGCGCAAGCGGCGCTGAGAACAGCACGCAAGAGCGCATGGCGCTCAGCAGCGACAGGGGACAGGTCCGGGCTGTGAACTTCACCGGCAAAGGCGGGGGCGCCCTCAAAAACAACAGCCCAAGAGGCCTCGCGGAACCAGCGCATGCCTTTCCAACTTGTGGCTTGCAAGCAGCTGCCATCAGTGGCAACCACGACTCTGCCTTGGCGGCGGGGAGCAGTCGCGCAAGCTTGGACCAGCGCTTGCGACGGAGCAACATGCCTCCAATCGCGGGGCCGCAGAGCAGAGAGCACAGGAACGAGCAAGCGATTCTCAGCAGGACTACGGGCAGGGAGAGCCGGATGCGCAACCCGAGACGGACAGTGGAAGGTCACATGAGTGCGAGTGGGGCAGAGATCCCCACACTCGCACTGAGTGACAGGAAGCTGCATCCGCTCAAGGGTGCGACAATCGTGAGCAGCAGCATGCAGCACACGACGGAGATGGCCCCGAGGGCAAGAGGCCTCGATGGCCCTGGAATGGAAATCCAGGAAGGGGGTTTGCCCAGCGCCAAGCGGGCCAGCAGTTTTGGGGTCCGCAGACCAAAGCTGACGCAGCCAGGAAGCTTGAGCAACAGCAACAAGCGCCTCATTGGAGAGGAAACCAACAGGAAAGGAGCCCAGCGGAGTGCTCCAAGTGCCAGGCGTGGGAGCAGTAAAGCCGAGCGCGTTCATGGCAAACTGCAAGCCAGGACAAGGGCGACGGGGCGGAGGACGATGGCCGAGGCCGCTGACACGGGAGACCTCTTGCCGCAGGGCGGCGACAGCTAAAGCAACCGAAGGGTGCCTAGACGGCTGAGCCCAAGCACCCCACAACAAGAATCTGGACCGAGCAGAAACGACACCGGCCCCAATGGCAGTTTCAATGGCAAAGGCCCAGCCTTGGATGACTTTACGGGGAATGCAAGTCCAAGGGCCAATCCAGGAAAACAAACTAACGACAAGGGAAGACACAAGGAAGCGCCTAACGTGAAGAGAGCGGGCAGCACGGGCAATGCGCCGAGTCCGCTGCCGGACGAGGGCGGTGATCCGGGTAGGCTCAAAGAACCCTTGGCGGTATTTGACCGAGTACCAAACACCAAGAAACTTGAACTTCGAGAGTTCAGCGCCGAACAGGACGGGCTCAGCACGCAACAGGCGGCGGTCACGGGGGCGGGTCGCCCAGGAAGCAAGCTTGTCAGTATGCACCTGAAGGCCGAGGATGGTATCCGTGTGTTGGGCAATCTGGAGAGCCAGCCGCAAAGGGGGTGTTGGCTGCCGCTGCGAGCACCACAGGGTACGGAAGAATCCCAAAGAACCAGCATGGATTGTGACTTGTGCAGAATCCCGGCAAGGCTGCAAATGGCCTCGACCTGCAAATCCCCCGACTGGTCGATGCAGATCCTGTCCAGGAAGACCTTTCTTCTTGACCGCCAGCAAGCCAAGGTCAACATGGTGCCAGTGACACCAAGCGCAAATGACCACACAGAATCATCCCACTCACCTGGAATTCTTTCGAAGCCTGGCAGCACGTGGAGCTGAAAAAGCACACTGCCCAGCAAGGCGCACGCGTTGCCCACGACAACCGCCGCTAAGCCGTTGATCAGCACCAAGAGGGTCAAGCATTTCGCCCACACGGAGAGGTGCCAAGAATGGCTCCAGAACTCCTGGATCTTGCGCACCGCTCGGCTCTTGGCAAAGAAGTCCCCATCGCCTCTAAGAGCCGCCGCGCAGGACTCGAACGCATGGTAGGCAGCTGTGGCCCGCAGAACTTCAGGTCGTGTAACCTTCATCGTTGAAATGAAGTCAGCCAAGGCATGAACTTGCATAAGCTGCATGTCCTGCATGTGACGCGGCATGCTTGATTCCGACCCAGAACTGTGAGCACTGGAAGTCGAGACCCTTCTACCCACAACCGTCAGCCCCTCGCTTGCGTCGACATCTTCCATGCTCTGCACAGGAAGCAGACCAGGTCAAGGGCAGTGATATTTAAAAACATGTGAGCAGATACGTCCTTAAGCCCAAAAGCGGTTGTCTATCCCAATAACTCTCAAGGGGGTGGATTTGGGCCGCCTCGGAATGGCTTTCAAAGAGGAACCAAACAGGAACACTAATTATTGAGGCCATTTTCGAGAACCCTTGGCTTTTAACTTTCTTAGGACAAGGTTGGTATCTTTCTACTAGCCCTCCGGTTCCCCAACCCCTTGAGGGCAGGCGGTATTCTCGGGGGGGTTGGGGTTGGCCCGCATCCCCCGGCCTCGCTCGCACCTAAGGTTCCTTGCTGGCTTTGGTGGCACTTGAGTTGCTCGGGGCTGATTTCGGGTGGTTGTTGGGCTTGAGATCTTAATGAGGGCAGTTCTTGTGCTTGTTTGGGGTTGATTTAGTCGGCGCAAAGGGCTATCCACTTCTACCAAATCAAAGCCAACAAAAAAGCCCTAAGTCCGAGCGAGGCCAGTGATGCTGGGGATGCAGCCAACCAACCCCGACCAACTAACCAACCAACACCAAATCACAGCCATTGGGCCAACCAACCAACCAACCAACCAACCAACCAACCAACCATCTGGTTAATCTTCGGCCGGGGCTAGTGAAACAGAAAAAAGTTCCGGACAGAAAGAGGCCCCAAAAAAAGAGAAGACCTTGATAGATAAGAAAGAGCCCCAAGAAAGAACGTGAAGAGACACTCGTTGAGGTTCAACTGTTAATTTGAGACCGGTTGGAGTTGACTTCTTCATTTCTTGCGCTCCAAAAGGCTTTTCCAGCCCATCAAGCCCCACTTTTGAAACGGCCCTGGCAAGTCCCTGGTGTCGGATTGGGGCAACCGCAATCCTTCGGTCATTTCGGCAAACGATTTACCGTGGGACAACTGGGGCTCATTCCTCCTTTGATTTGACCGAAACTTGGATCACCCCTTCCTGCTTGGGCTCGGACATGCAAAAAAGAAGTGGTATCCCCAGATGCTGTTGTTGCTTTTTGGCACTCTTCAACCCCCGATGAATCAGTCCATTTAGTCCGGGGAACTGGGCGCAGACCCCGTCTTCGGGCGTGAAAGGTGAGGGGCACCAACCCCCCGAAAAGCCACCAAGGCCAGGGTTCTTTTTCTACGCCGCCAGTTGAAGGCCTTAGCTTAAGCACGGAGAGGGAAGGGTTGGGCTCCCTGAAATAAAACAATCACAAGTTCACCTTGGAGAACCTCGAAGTATGGAAGCCCATGCAAGCAGCGCCCCCAAGTCCCGATGACTGTTGGTTCTACCAATATGGCGATATAAAAAATATACATATGTGTATATATATATATATATATATATGTATACATCACTTTTGAATAGAGGCGTTTCTCAAACCAGGTAGGAACCGAACAACCCACTATGGCCACTGGGTGCTGCTCAATTAAGACAAAGAAGCGCCTTATTTGCCAACCTGTTGAGGGGTGTGGGAAGGGTCTCCTGGCTGTTTGGCTTTTTGGTTCCCGAGGTCCCTCGCAAATGGACCATAGACAAATCCGGAAAGACCACACCCAATGTCCTGTGTTCTTTTGAGGCGAAGGGGGCCCTTTTCGGGGTTGCTTTTGGACCCCAAGCCCCGGGAAGGCTTTTCGAGTGGATTCATAAGCCTTCTTTTTTAGGGGGCCCCTTACATGCCCATGTTGCCCTCACTAGAACCGCCATGGAACCAAGTTTATATACTGACCTCACTGTAACCCCACGAAACCAAGTGGCGCAACCATGTACCAAACAAACCATCTACCAAAACCAAATGTCGAACAAGCTAAGGGTGAAGTGGGCAAGAAGCTTCCCCAAAAAGAACGTAGTCTTCCAAGAACCTCCTCTCAGCTTCCATGATTGCTTAAAGATCCAACCAAATAGCAGCCAAGAGAATTAGATGGTTTCGCTGAGGCACACCAGCACCGGGAAGTGGTCCAGGCGGTGCATCTGGTTCTCATCAGTGCCGCAGACCGACAAGCCGCCCGTGTTCACCAAGCACATGCCTGAAGGGAGCAAAACTGGAGGCCTTGCGAAACATAAGCACAAACTTGGTTCATACCTTCGACCTTATACGGGGTGGATGGGTGAAAGGACGGAGGGACGGACGGACGGACATACAAATAAATGGACGAATGCATGTGTGTGTGTGTGCTTGTGTATGCGTGCACGTCCGTATGTGTGCGCACGCGCGCGCATGCGCGTGCGCGTGCGCGTGCGTGCGCATGCGCGTGCGCGTGCGCGTGCGCGTGCGTGCGCATGCGCGTGCGCGTGTGCGTGCGCGTGCGTGCGTGTGCGCGCGTGTGCGTGCGTGTGCGTGCGTGTGCGTGCGTGTGCGTGCGTGTGCGTGCGTGTGCGTGCGTGTGCGTGCGCGTGGGTGCGTGCGTGTGCGCATGTGTGCGCATGTGTGCGCGTGTGTGCGCTTGTATGCGCGTGTGTGCGCGTGTGCGCGCGTGTGCGCGCGTGTGCGCGTTTGTGCGTGTGTGTGCGCGTGTGTGCGCGTGTGCGCGCGTGTGTGCGCGTGTGTGCGCGTGTGTGTGCGCGTGTGTGTGCGCGAGTGTGCGCGGGTGTGCGCGGGTGTGCGCGTGTGCGTGTGCGTGTGCGTGTGCGTGTGCGTGTGCGTGTGCGTGTGCGTGTGCGTGTGCGTGTGCGTGTGCGTGTGCGTGTGCGTGTGCGTGTGCGCGTGTGCGTGTGCGTGCGTGTGCGTGTGCGTGTGCGTGTGCGTGTGCGTGTGCGTGTGTGTGTGTGTGTGTGTGTGCGTGTGTGCGTGTGAGTGTGCGTGCGTGTGTGCGTGTGTGCGTGTGTGCGTGTGTGCGTGTGTGCGTGTGTGCGTGTGTGCGTGTGTGCGTGTGTGCGTGTGTGCGTGTGTGCGTGTGCGCGTGTGTGCGTGTGTGGGTGTGTGGGTGTGTGGGTGTGTGGGTGTGTGGGGGTGTGGGTGTGTGTGTGTGAATCCTTGTTCATTCCACAGGGGGGTCTGTTCATTTGGGGTGGAAAGTCTGAAATTTTGAGCTGTGAAGCATATAGGTCGCTATGTGTGTAGATGAGGAGTCATGTTGAAGCCTATGGAGCTCAAAAGACCCCACTCTTCCACCAGTGTGGTACTTGGCATCCAAGTGACACTGCTGTTGGAAGCATAAGTAACTTTAAGGGTATGACCAAAGACCTTTTGGGGGGGCCATATAAAGTACTCTTTCCAGTTGGTCGTGCGAACAGCTTGCTTATGCAAGGTTACCCTAATGTGAACGCAAAGCTTACAAAGTCGGTGAATGAGAGAAAATGTCAGGAGGTGTTCTAACATGGTTTCACATTGCTGCTGGCCGCTGGCTGCCAGCTGCTGGCTCAATCAGCAGCACCTGAGCCTGCACCTTGGTGGCAAGCCAGTCACAACTGAGGCAAGGCAATTCTTCTGATATCTGTGCGATATGTGCATGACTGCCCTGGCTCAGGAGCACACCTTGTCAGAGGTCACTGGACTGCAGCCTGCCTGCAATCAAAAGGTTTGCAACAACTGACCAGGTGGTCACACTTACTGGCGCTTTCAGAGTGGAGAAGTACACGTTCCTCAAAAAGTATTGTGCCACGTGTTGCCCATTTTCAAAGCGCACCCCAACCCAATGCATGCCACTTAGTGGTTTGCGACGAATTGCCTTTAGGGTGGTGCCAATAGGTTTGCCCAACACACACCCTCACCCCATGAAACTTTTCAGGTGCAACCTTGACTCATTCCTGAGTTTCTGCAACTTGCTGGTAGGAACACCCCAAAAGCCGGTTGGAGAATCAATGAATCAACCATGAATCACACAGGGGGCC